GTGACCCCGGATTAATAAAAGGGGCTAAGACGAAAAGAAAATGAACGAATGAATTAAATAATCACCAAGCCATCACAAGTTGAAGTATCTTTGGTGTATAAATTGCAATTTATTTGGTCTCTGACAGGCTCAAACACTTTTGGTTGAATTTCAGCAGTTACCATTTGTCAAAATCAGTGTTTTGACAGGTGAGAGGAAACGGATTTGAATATGCAAAACCTTCAGCCAATCATTGCAATGGACAATAACTTTCAAGTCTAGAATGTAGCACAAATGTCAAAACAAGGTGCTCTGAAGAGAGGGTCAAAACAGGTTTTAAAATAGTGCTCTAGAATAATAATGACTTTCTTTCCTTCTTTCTTTCTTTCTTTCTCTTTTTTTTTCTTTTAAGCCTTGCTAACTATCAGAGAACAAACATTACAACATTAAAAAAAGTTCAAAGCACTTTTGAACACAAAAGTAAAAATTGTGACAAATGTTGCAAACATTAAACCATTGACTACTATCATTTTTGTTTTTCAGCTTTAATAAATGGTTCTGTAGTATTTTTTATCGTTACTTAATATTAATCAATGTGGTTAACTAATATTGCCAAATAGAGTCTTGTTGTAAAGTGGTATTTAGTTTGAACTTGATAAAAAATAACTACATATGCATATAAAATTATTAGAATAGTTAGTAGCAGCTACTTTTTCTACTCACTTTTTTTTATGGTAGTTTAATCTATATTATAGGAGTACCTTGCAGCTCAGACAGCAACCTTTTTAAAAGTAGCTTCAATAATGTGCAAAAAAATCTTTCCCTTAAAGTAGCTGGGTTTACCTGACTAAAGAAATGTTTGAGTGACAGATTTCTCCATCCATCCTATTATAAGCTCCATCCTAGTCTTCTCCTGTCCGGTATGTTCCTCAGTAAGTGGCGAATGAATCGCACAATCACACTTCATTCTGAGAACCACTCACTTTCTCATCCCTCAAGTCCTAATAACTCCTTTCTTCATAACATTTATTGCTATAGTCTACACCTTTCACCTTTCTCTGCTCTTCCCTTCAGTCTCTCTGTGTCGTCTCAGACTGCAGGATGGAAATTCACTCTGCTAGAGTCTCTCAGACTGTTCTGTATAAGCAGTGGAGTGACCTGATTGTTCAACCCAAATCTCTTCACATGAATGCTCAGATTAACTGTAAAACATACAACACACATACAGACACACAGACAACAAGGACATCTGGGGAGATGGACGGTTAAAAGGAATTCCCAAAATGAGAATTCTGTCATTGTTTGCTCCCTAGAGAGACTTGAAGAAAATGCCGGCTGAGCTTTTCCACTGAATGGAGATTGAAAAAGCATAAATGAAAGAACATCCTCTGAAATATAGGTGCAAAAATAAAATGAGTACCTTTCTAAAAAGGTACAATATTGTACTTTCTATAGACACTAATATGTTCCTTTCAGCTTATAATAAGCACCAAAGTGTAGTTCTAAAAAGGTCCCTGACAATAAACATAAAACTTTTTTACTTTCATGGGTGAGACTGTATATCGAAATCATTTATTAAGTTTATTCGCGAGTTCACATCAGTATTGTGTTAAAAGCTCACAGGAAAGAAAAGTTATGAATAGTGAATATTAAATGAAATTTAAGCTCTCAAAGGGATAGTACACCCAAAAAAGTTCTGCCATCATTTACCCTTTACTTTCTCTAAAGCTTTTAGAGTTTCTATCTTCTCTCAATCACAAAAGAAAATATTTAGAAGCAGGCTGGAAACTTGTATTGACTTCCATAGTCAGCTGGTTTTCAGCTTTCTTCAAATTTTTTTTATCTAATGTTTAACAGATGAAACTCAAAACTTTTATAATGATTTTGAATTTATAGTTGAAGCCTGAATGTGTGAAGTGTTTTTATCATTTTTGTTGCCTTGTAGAAAAAACCACTGTATATTTGGATTGGAATGACACAAGAATGAGTCAATGATGATGGAATATTAATTTTTCATGGTTGAACTATTCTTTTAGTGGGTGATGATGTGTAAGATTGTCAATTACATAAGGCAATTAAAACAAATATTCAAAGGGATAGTTCACCAAATAAAAAATTCTGACATGATTTACTCATATTTGAATGTTTAGTGTGAGTAGTACATGGCAGAATATTCATTTATGGGTGAACTATCCCTTGAAACATTTGAGTATGACTAAACATTTATCAGTCCTGTACCCTGAAATCGTTAAGGAAAAGGGGACAAAAAAAAAAACCTGATAGGGAAAAATACAGTCGTATCGGCTTCATTATAATCTGATGATGAACTATAAATCTATAATCCGATTTTATAGTACTGGTGAAAATAACATGAGGAAAAGAAAAAAAAACATACAGTATAGCAGGGTGGAGATCACTGCTCCACCCAGACTCCTATTCCATGGCTCCTAGGTATATGTGGATTTGAAAGTCTTCCTGGATCTAATTCTGGCTTGCAGCACTGTCAGTGATTGATGCTTTTGTGCTTCATGGTGTTTTCCTCCACAATGTGTCATATCAGACAGACAGAGGCACGTCGAGCTGCTGAAGCTATTAGAGAAGTGACAGCGCCATCTTTTGATTTGATGTGATATTACTTTATATTGGAGGCTTATAAGTCGTGGTTCACAATCACACTCTCTCAAATCATCCATGACTGTTTTACAAGAACGCAGCAATGTTGATAAACATACCAATATAATATACATAAAGAAAAAAAGAAAACATTGATTTCCAAGTTAGATTCTAAATGGACTGCAAAAAATGCCAAAATACAGGCATTGCAAATATGGAAAATTATAAAAATTATAATAATAAAAGTATTGAATACAAACAATTGTACTCATTGTAAAGTTGTATTGCTGAGAGTTGAGAAAAATAATTATAAAGTAGAAACAATTTTACAGACACAGACCAAGGCTGTGCACAGGGGGGTGGCCCGGTGGCTAGAACCCCTGCCCCTCTGCCCTCAAAGGCTTAGGTGCCCCTCTCAGGAGGCACTTGCTCTTTACTTTGCGATCGTGTTGCAGCACCTGCCCCTGTAAGGGTCTGTGCACAGGCCTGCCACAGACACACACACACAGACAGAAACACACACATAACGCCGGCAGGACTGCGCAGGGAGCGACTCCCTTCAGATTCAACACGCATAATCGCATTCATCAAATTTGCTTAAACTAAGCGTTTTAAAGTATGGCTGTATTTCACAAGGGTTCTGACATAACGCGAAGGAGATGCTTTTGTTGCGTTTAAGGAGGAAACACGTCAAACTTACTGAAACATTGGACGGCTCATGCAAAAAGGCATTGGAATGTCTTTGACAGCTTGTGACTTCATGAGTAGACTTTAAGTACATTTCTATAAGACACCAATTCTCAGATTTTATTATGTTTAAGATAATACTCTTATTAAAAGTCTACCATGTAACCAGAGATTTGATTACCTTAAAGGACCACAGTTTTTCTCTCCATTCGCCATGCGGTATCAAATTCCATTAAAACAGAAGAAGTCGCAAGTTGAAAATTAAACACCTAAAATTGCATGAAACTCTGGAGAGCCTGGTGATGCGACATTAATTGTTTTATACTGAAACTTGCCTTCAAAAAGTACTTCCTTGGTCTTATGCATATTTCTTTACATGTTTACCACAAGTCGGCCACAACAGGAAGTTAAAAAACCTGCAACTGCGTTAATTGCGTAGATTCTTTTTTAACACGTTAATTATTTCAAATTAATCGCATGTGTTAATGCACTCATTTTGACAGCACTAATATATGAGTATGTTATAAAATCTATATAAAAATGTGTGTGGGGAGGTGCATCAAATTATAGATAGCGGATGAAAAAAAGAACTTAAAATCACAACTATTCTAAATATTTATATGGATCATGTACATTATGACAGGTCTCATTTTGATGCCTTAGCTTTTATACGTAGATAGAACAGGGTCAAATTTAAGAATTTAAGACCCTTTTAAGATCATTATGAAAAAAATTTTTAGACTTATAAATAACCATTAGTGTTAGTATGTATAATGGCAAAAAAAAAAAAATAAATAAATAAATAAATAAAAAATTAATTATTTCTTAGTGACATACTTTAATGTTCCAAAATAAGAAAATTCTAGTTGTATACATTTTTTTCAACATAATATTTATTTTTTTAATGACAAGTTTAACATTGTTAAAAGTATATTTATTATGGAGACAACTACATAAATAATCTAAAATAGTATTTGTTGGCCTTTGATCCAAAGTGATAGGGTATAACGTCTGAATAACCTAATGTGTTTGTTATAAAACCTTAAGTTTCATGCCTTTTTATAAATATGATGTCAACTCCTTCTTACTTCTGTAAAGAGTTTTTGTATAAATGAAAGATAGCGTAAAGATATGTTGCTCTGCTATTATCATGAGGAACCGTGTAATTGTTGTTTTATCTTTCCCTGTGAATTGGGGAATTAAAATTTGGAAAAATTGCTGTAACAACTGCTGTCTAACTGTTGTAGATTATATCTCTTTGGAAGAAAAAAAAATTAACATCAACCTGAATATTAAAAAAAAGTTGGATTGTTGGTGACTGGATGGATGTCGGCCTGATTGGGTAGCTTTACTTAGAGGAAAATTAAGGCCTGTTTAAAATGATTTAAGACCTACAACATCATATTTCACTAAATTAAAGACTTTACGGCCTAAAATTTTGTTTTTGAAACTTAAGACTTTAAGATCCCACAGACACCCTGATAGAAAAGCATATTAAATTATTTTTGTGAAAATGTCAAATTATAGGAAATATTTATAACATGCTTTTAAAACTTTTAGATTGTGGGATTTGTGGCATGCAAAAGACAGAAAACCTGTTTAAACTACAATTTTAATTGATGCTCGAAAAAGCCCCTTTTCCTCCACCAATTTACAGCTAGTTTAGAACATTAAAACACACACATACAACACACTTAGAAAAGAAGTATGCCAGGTCTTACCCTTCAGAGTCTATACTGTCCTGAACCATGGCTTTGAGTGCATCTGAGTTGGCTGGGGAAAGACAATGAGAGAGAGTATAATTAATGAATTCCTAAATTAGCACAGAGAAGAGTCAGCAGCCTCAGATGAAGAACCACTGGCTTGACTGAAATCTACTGACTAACGAAAGCAGCTTAATACCTTCTGATGCAACAACTGCAGCACATAATCACAATAAACCAAGGGTAACTTCTTGCCATCACACACACACACCTTATAAATATTAGTGTAATTCCATTTTACAACTAGCTCACATTACTGGCCTCTCTCAAAACAGTCATTGTTGCATTACAGTGGAGTTACAGTTAAACAAAGCAGAAAAAAAAAAAAGCTGTGGTGAAATTTTTTTAAATTTTTTTATTTCAAGTTTAACAGCAGATGGCACTCTAGGCTAGTTTTTAACCGTGCACTCAAATTAGGAAGAGTACTTCTGCTTTAGGCTGAGTCATGCAAGTTGACTTATCACAAGACAATTGTAAACAGCTCACTATGAACACCTGAAAACTTTCCTAACTTTATTAATGATTATTTTTGGTTCAAGTGGTATTTGTAAGAGTATGACTGTGTTTGTAAAACATACAGTGCCATCTGCTGCTAAATACCGAGTCCGGAATCAGTTCAGGAGAGAATGGTGATGCATTTTGAATTTTTTTTTAATTCTTAGAAGAAGATGCAGAATATATATTTCTCAGACTATTTTGGCGCAGCTCTCAATGTGTTCTTTCTGTTTGGCGAGTTTTGCAATTAGAGCAAATGGCTTAAAGAAAATACTATTTCCACCTAGAGTAAACACCTTTACCTGCTATTTGCACTATTTTTGTTTTTCCTTTTCATGCGTATAGGAAATATATGGTTAGGTATACAGTATGCAAGGTTAGGTATAGAAAAAAAAATATATATATATTTAACATCTTTTGCTGGTTCCATTGTGCAAATAGCTGCTGTATGCCTTCAAACAAACAAACATCCAGACACGGGATGCCATACCAAGATATTCAACTTTAAATAGCTTATATATTCAAAGATGGCACAAAAAGTGGCAAAAAACATTGTGCAATGACTGGCAATGAAAGTGGCGTGCATTTAACAAACTTCCAGTTCCTTCCAATTACTCATCTTAAAGAGACAGTTCATGCAAAACTCTAGCATAATTTAGTCACTGTTTACTTGCCCCAATTCTGTTTGATTTTCTGCTGTTGAACAAGAAGAATGCTGGAAACTACTAATTTCCCAATGGAAGTAAATGGATACAGGTTTTTAGCTTTTTCAAAAAAACTTTGTTTTTGTGTTCAACAGAATAAAGAAAACCACTTGAGGTTGAGTAAACATCATTTTGGGTGAACAATAGTACTTTTAACCACTTTAAGAAGTCGAATAATGCACATGCAGAAATAATCCAATTTCTGACAGGATGATGTTCTAAAAGAAATTATCGTGCATGACCAGGATGGGGCATTGAAACATCAAAGATATGCATGGAAACAAAAGCATGAACTTAACCTTTTGAATTTTTTTCTTTGCTAAAGAAACACTAAAGAAAATATTTTAAAGAAAGCTAAAAACCTGTAACTGTTGACTGCCATAGAAGGGAAAACAAATACTATGGAAGTCTCAGGTTACAGGTTTTCAGCTTTCAACAAAACATATTCTGTTCAACAGAAAAAAAGAAAGTGAAACAGGTTTGGTTTAAGGGGTTATAATTTTTCAGTTTTGGATGAACTATCCCTTTAAGGACTTGACTCTGCTAAAACTATTTCAAGACTGAAGCATTTTTTTAAAATGGTAAAGCAGTTCTAGGAATAAAGATGTGCTAAATTAATTCAAGAGTATATATGAACAAAGAACTAAGAAGATACATTTTATTAACTTTGATTTCATGAGGACTTGAAAGCACATTTTATCATTTACAGCTTGATTTAACCAGACAACACCATTAGCATCAAAACTAACCCAGACAACAAATTCAAAACTTGTTTACCAAGTGTGAAAAATGTGTGTGTTTTGCAATATGCATGTATGATCAGAATTTTCAGAATTTAAACCCACAATACAAATCTTAAAGTCCAACCAAGATACCTAAATATAGAGTTACAATAAAGTCCATCAACGTGGATTCAATTGTCAACTGAATATTATTTATTTATTTATTTATTTATTTATTTATTTATATATATATTTAGGTCAGTCAAAAAAAGAAAGCTAAATATGTCTTAATAAGCCTGGTGATACACTTAGTTGTCTGTTGTGACTTCATGATGAGTCACTGCTCTGAGGTCAGCTGAGGATTGTTTACACTCCGTCACAATCAATGTAACATCATGATTAATGTGACCGACTTGTTACCACACCTCAAGTTTCCATCAGTGTAAACAGACCAGCAAAAAACGTCATAATTTCCGAGAGGTCTTACATTTTGTAATCTTGGGGTCAAGTAAATCAGTGACCAGTGATCTTTCATTAATGTGTCAAACTCATAAATCATCCAAACATTTGTATAGTTTACCTTCATTTTTCATGATGTAGTGAACAATCTGGCCCACTGTGTCTGCGTTTCCTTCACTGAAGGTGTCGTTCAGATCTGACAAAGAAAGAGCAAGAGAATAATTGTGTTAAAATCAAAATGAATAAGAATAATGCCTAAAGTGATGGTTCATGACAATATATACATGTATCTAAAATGTCTTTTAATGAACACAAAATTTGTTATTTTGAGAAATGCTGTAAACATGAAGCAACTGACATCAATAGTTAGTTAGGGGAAACAAAAAATATGAAAATCAGTAGGTATCAGTCTGTAACATTCTTGAAATTGTTTTCTTCTGTGCTTAACTGAAAGAAGAAACTCAAAAAGGTTTGGAACAAGTGGAGGGTAAGTATATGACAATAGATTTATGTTGATGAATTCTGTGGATTATATATAGAAATCAATATCAAATCAAGTGATGTAGGCTATTTAAAAAAAAAAAAATAGCACAACTTCAGCTTTTTTAGTGTTTTATTGTGTCGTCAGCTTGGAATTAGAAGGTTCTATCTGACATTTTGTCAAAAACGAGTTACTGACAATTTTATTAATTGACAACTTATTTACATTATGGGATGTTTTTAAGTTAAAATTAAGACTTTTTATTAAAAAAATGTTATACACATACTGTTTGCTATGAAATGCAAGAACTTTAGAGCTCAATATCTCAAAATCCTTCAGAATGCAGATAAAACCTTATAATTCCAAGGTGACAGTGTGTCATATGAATCGAACTGATACAACACAAAACATTAGGAGAAAGTGTGCAGCTGTTATCACAAACCAACTGTTAAGAGTTTTTGTTATTTCATGACACACAGGTGGTATGAACTAAAGATATTTGCTGACTTAACAAGATTGAGGACTAGCTCATGGTGCTAGAAAACAACAACATTTACAATACTAACAATAACTATGGTCTGTTGACATCAGTAAATGGCCTCATAAAAGGCATATAGAGATGGAAAAGCTTCCACACATACACACACCACCCATGTCCTTCCTGAATACATGCCTAGATCCCTGCTGGAAAGGACAAATTTCCTGTGTAGCATTTTCTCTCACAGCTGGGGATCCGACATGAAAATAAGCAGTTTTGTGGACATGTGACTGCTTATCTGCTTTGATTAATACATGAGTGGCAAAAAAAAGAAATCAACAAAGCATAACTACGTTGTAATGATAATGCACAATAGCAACATTAATTTAGGGACAGTTAAATTTACCAACAGACACACAATTAGTTAACCAAATGTTATTTTCAGCTTTTCACTAACTGGAACCATATTTCTAGTGTATCCATCAAGACAAAAACTAAATCTATTAAACTATAGCCAAAAATCATGCCTTATACCTTTAAAAAGTGAACTATAAGAAGGAGCAGCCATTTCTAGTTGTGTCTGCAACCATAGTGGACATTTTGAAGTGCACTAAATCAATCCCACAATGCACTCCATTATAGAGTGTACAACTCATGCACACTCCAGCTAGAAAATACCTAATATGCAATGGGTTAGCAAGCCAAATGCATTTCCACATCTGACCACAAGTTGACGACCAAAAACTTTTAGCGGTGAAAATTTTTAACTTTTTTTTTTTGCAAATTAAAATATTATTTGATTAAAGCTTTTGTACATGACAGACATCAAAATACTTTTGTTCAATACTAACAAACAACTCACAATATGTTATATAACTACTACAGGGGTACTCTGACCGAGAAAACTAAAAACTAGCTACCTGGGGGATTCATCAAGCAGAAAAAAAAAACAAAATGGCATCCCTTCTTGTGCGCAGTTTGCTCAATTTCACTTTTTTTTCATCCACTCTTTAAAAATAGACTATATTAGTGGACTGATTGTAGGGAATAATGAGTAAGGGTGCAGGGGGCGATGTGGATACAGCGATAAGAAGGGGGAAGAGACTAATTGTTTGAATAGTTTTAAGTATTAGCTTTAAAATAAAACAAGTTCTTGCAGAAATCAGACAGTGTAATCATTAATAAAAAAGTATAATAATTGTTTGCATTTATTGAAATAAATGGAAATAAAACCTCAGAGTTGAATTAAAAACTTCATTATTGGAATTTACAGTGAAAATAAATCCATTAAACAATTGATAAAATAAATTTAAATGGCATACGCATGTGATTAAATACAAATGAGCAATTCCAGCATTATGGATGTGACATTTGCAGTAAAAACTCAAAACATAAATTCACACAGAAAGTCTGTTAACATTATATTACAACTTTTGTTTATATTTTCCAGAACAACTAATCACAGAGTTACAGGAACAGAAAAATATCAATCTGTAAAATTGTTTTGTACTTTAAATGAGGAAAATAAGCATGCATTTTGGATATGACATTAAAAGTCTGCGGGTTTACAGAATACAACATACTTTGTAGCAATTCTGTTAATTAAACTGCACAAAAAAAAAAAAAAAAAAAAAAAAAAAATATATATATATATATATATATATATATATATATATATATATATATATATATATATATATGCCAATCAAAAGGTTAAGTGATGGCTCACTATAGAACAAAAATGATTCGTTTTATTTCATTTAAAACTTTTACAACTAGAAGGAAAAAGTGTAGTTATGGATGTGACATCTCTACGTTATGGATGTGACTCATGTGAAACTGCCACTTGTGTGACTTTGGTAAATCAAATGGAATAGTTTGAAAAAAATTGACAGATTCATTTTTCAGTATTTCTAAAGTACTGTAAAATACTTGTTTACACAAAAAAAACCCAGAAAGAGTTTTTGTATTTTTGTGAAAACTTTATTTTTTCATAGCAAGGTTGACATTTGCTTGGAATTGCTCAAATACAGCTTAGGCATGGACTTGCACAGATTACCATTATTTACACTACCGCAACCACTATACCACCACTACTACTAATTCTGCTACTGCTACTACTACTACTACTACTACTACTACTACTACTAATAATAATAATAATAATAATAATAATAATAATAATATAGTATAAATAATAATATATAACAATATGTAGTGCATAATTCAGTGAGACATGGGTGGATACAAAGATCTGAAGACAAACAAAAAGACAGAGAAAGAAAGAGACAGGGCTGTGCCAGTTTGAACAAGTCCACACACTTTTACATTTCCTAGAATTCAGCACCACGTCAACATTACTAGCAAAAAAAAAATATATATATATAAAAAAAAAAGTCACCATAAAGACTTGCATTCAATCAGAAAAGTTAACTACAAATAAAAACACAAAAGTCATTTCAGAAATAGCATTGTAGATCCTTGAGCAAAAATGAGAACATGATAAAATAAATTCAATGTTGGCCAATTTCCTGGAGCCGAAACCCCACCTTATCAGTAGCGTAAATAAACTAAAGCTGTTTTAACCCATTTTTGCCTTCGTGACATTTAAAACAAAGTGAGAACAATGCCAAACAATTTGTATCAGTGTGACCAAGCAAGTTCTTAACCATTAGGTGTGTCAAGCTGAATGTCTCTATTGCTGTATAAAAAAAAAAAAAAAAAAAAAAAAAAAAACACACATAACTTTGCTCCCCAAGATGCGTGACGTACTGGACCAGATGTACAGAACAGTGCACACCTTACCTTGTATTATAACTCAATAGAGCGGCTTTATGCGATTACGCCTTTTCTAAAAGATCATGATTTCTGCTTGGTGATTAAGACTGAAAAAGAAACCCAGGCCATAAATTATTTATTCCAGAGAGAGTGAGACAAAGCACAACCAAATAAGACTTTCATAGAAATTCAGTCAAGAGAATAAAGCATTTGTTTTTTAAAGTAACTATTCAAAATTCACTGCCCCTAAAAAAATTAACAGGGAACACTCTACATCCGTAAAGCCACTCACAAAAGGAAAATTAGTAATATTTATAAGGCCAAAAAAAAACTAACTTCCTTAAAGAGTGGTCCACTACGATATCAGATTTAAAATTTTAGTTGATGTGTAATGTAGCTGAGTGAACATAAAGAACATCTCTGAATGCAAGACGCTCAAAGTTTAATGCAAAGGGAGACATTGGGTTTTATAGAGTTAGCTTAGCAAAGCCTTCAGAGAACGAAGTTTGGGGACTACAAAAAAACATCCAGGCTAATGAGATCACAAGAGCTTCCGGTTAAGCACATTCATCAGGTGCACACACCCTGGCTGCACAGCGAAGTGGCGTGAGCATAGGCACTGTAATGCTATGGCAGAGAAAGCTAAAATGGTGTCTAAACGCTACCATTTCCACAGAGCTTCTTCTGTTTCTGTATTTGGGCTTTCAAAGGACACAACACAAAGAAAGAAGTGCTTTAATGTTAATTATATTCCAGAGAAATATATATACATATATATATAGCATTTGACAAAAACAGCTTCCAAAATCTCTTCGAGTTCAGTGCTGGATTCAGCTAAAAATTCCTCAAAGAAGGAGCAGCTCCAACCATAATAGATAAAGCTGTGGATTGTGAGCCACAGCCTGCAAGTGTTTTTGTTTGTTAAAATTTGATCAGTGACATGCGCAGTGTCTAGCATTAATAGAATGCTGTAGCGAGAACACAAGCAAGGGTGTAAACAACAGAAAATGCTGTTTGGCATTGCTAACAATTTAGCTACAAATTCATATATCAGTCAAGCTGCCGTAAATACACAATCTTCAGCAGTGCTGCAGTGCATCTATGTGGATGCTTTCCCTCTGTTCTATTTCTCAAATAACCAACGCAAAAGATATGTGAATGCTTCATATTACTTACACATGCTTAGAACACAAATATATTTGAAAGACACTTTTACTACAGATTTTATTTTAGAGAGCAGGCATGGGGTTCAGCGCTGTCATTTTCTGTCTGATTCAAGCACAAATTGCTGCAACTAACAGCTTCTCTGACTGACAGTATTTACACGGTACAAAAGCGCATAATTGAAGGTGCGTGACGTTTCCTGTTGACATGGAGCTGATCCGCAAATTACAGCACATTTTGTTAGCTGACCAATCTGAGCCTCTTGAGGGCTGGTTGTTTTCATATTAGCCGAGTA